GTGGGCAGCCGCCGGGTTGGTGGCACAGCATTTGGGGGTCTCGGTGTTTGAGGTCAGAAGGGTCTCACGCCGCCGTCCCCGTTGCCAGGCATGGTGGAGATGATCCCCAACGCCGAGACCCTGCGCAAGATCCAGGTGGAGCACGGAGTGACCGGCTCCTTCAAGGACCGGCCGCTGGCGGACTGGCTGCAGAAACACAACCCCGAGGAGGATGAGTACGAGAAGGTGAGGAAGGGTCCCTGTTCCTTGTGTCCCCATTCCCTGTAGGGCCAGACCCCTCAAATCCCATCACATCAATCTTGTGTCCTGTTCAGGGGCCAAATCCCTCAAATCCCATCACATCAATCTCGTGTCCCCATTCCCAATAGGGCTGGACCCCTCAAATCCCATCACATCAATCTCGTGTCCCCATTCCCAATAGGGCTGGACCCCTCAAATCCCATCACATCAATCTCATGTTCCCGTTCTGGGGCCAAATCCCTCAAATCCCATCTCATCAATCTCGTGTCCCTGTTCTGGGGCCAAATCTCTCAAATCCCATCACATCAATCCTTTCTCCACACATTCCTGTAACGATGAGAGACACGGACCCCTAACCAGGTGGAAAGAGGGTTTATTGCAAAAATCCAGGGTTTTTAACCCGTTAGCTCGTTATGGGTTTACATTTTCATGAAGCACAACCAAGTGTTTTACCCAACCATGAAAAATCATTAGAGGAACATGCCATGGCCATAAATCATGCCAGGAACATGCCAAGATCAGAACTGACCACCATAAATTATGCCAGGAACACACAATGGTCAGAACTGACCACCATAAGTCATGTTAGGAATATGCCATGGTCAGGACTGTCCACCATAAATCACAAGAGGAACACGTGATGGTTGGAATCAATCGCCAGGAACACACAATGGTCAGAACCAACCACCAGGAACAYGCCAGGAACATGTGATGGTCCACATAAACCATGGAACATGCAACAGTCAGAACCAACCACCATAAATCACGTTAGGAACGTGATGGTCAGACCCAACCACCTCACACCACTGTGTGAGCTCTCACTCACTCCATCCCTCATTTTCCAGGATTTTATAACTTGTTTTTCACCTCCAATTTAGCTGAGGCCCAGAATCCCAAAATTACCCCAGAAACCTTCCCTGGTTATCCAAAATAACTGGAATGATCAAGAATTTTTTCCGGGGTAACAAGGCCCTGTTTTTTTAAGGTTTTACTGATCACCACATTTCCCCTTCCCCCCATCCCTCCCTCCTCTCAGGCCGTGGAGAATTTCATCTACTCGTGCGCCGGCTGCTGCGTGGCCACCTACGTGCTGGGYATCTGCGACCGCCACAACGACAACATCATGCTCAAGACCACGGGCCACATGTTCCACATCGACTTYGGCCGCTTCCTGGGCCATGCCCAGATGTTTGGCAACATCAAGAGGTGAGGAAGGGCCCCGAGACCTGCTGGTCTCATCCCTGCAAAGGAGAAGGTCCAGTCCTTGTCCTGGTGTTGAGTGACTCCTCCCTGTC